AAAGCAACTTGCTTGTCTGGTGCCACATCCACGAGCATGCACTGCTGACGTCCTCTAGCAGCAGTGTACAAGATGCACTGCGGAAATTCAGCAGACTCCTTAAACAGCACCTTCCAAATCTACAACCACTACCATCTAAAAGGTCAAGGGCAGCAGATACAAGGAAAACACCACCATTTGCAAGTTCCTGTCCAAGCCACTCACTATCCTGATTAGGAAATACATCACTGTTCCTTCACTATTGCTGGGTTACAAAGTGCTGTAAAGCAGATGACAGAGAGGAAGAAGTGAATGAGCAGACAGTTGGACATGTTGCTCCAGTTATAGACATGATTTGGATGTCATGTCATTTTACTGCACCTTCTCAAAAATCTGTACACTTTCAACCATAATCACATTACATTCTATTTCTGTTCTTGTTCTTATAAAACAACTTCTTAGACCTTTAGTTATTCCTACTATTCCAGTACATCCATGGTAGTCTTAACATTAGGATATAATTTGTACCTGCATACTGCCACATAACTAGTAAACAGAGGCCGAGGGTCTCTTGGTAATGTTAGCTCTATGCCACCAATTTAAATAGCAGTTGTTCTCTTTCCTGGTCACATGTCACAGAGCAGTCTTTGTACCCGAATTCAAGAGTAGTTGTATTTGTCCAGTTTCACTTGGTGTACTGTGTAGATTATACCTGGACTTATGCTCACAGCAACTCTGGCTGTCAGTTTTTCTTCATTTTACACATTGAATGCTATTAAGACTTACATTGACAAAAACTAACAGGAGGTTTTAATCAATTTATTTAAACTATTATGTAAATAGAGACATGCCTGATCGCGCACAAACCCAACACAGATTTAATGTAATTTCCCAGTGAAAATCTGTTCTACCTGTTTATAACTTTTGAGCATATGACCCATATTGCATTTCTGTCCCTTGCTTCATCTGATCTAAATGGTCATGCTGTATACTCTTGAAGTCTGATCAAGAGTAGATTTCATTGTTTTTCTACTTGAGCATAACTAATTTTTTTTTTAAATGAAGATTAACGCCTCTGAAATTTCCTGCAAAAGCATCCCGTTGTGGTTTTACAGAAAATGTAAATGTAACAGTTAAAATTTTTTCACAATTGAGATTTTTGAATGTTGTACTTTTGTGTTCCTTCTTTCCTTCATATTTCTTTACTATGTCGGTTATGCTCTCTGTGCCCTCTTAAGACTCTGAAAGAAAAAACATTTTAAATCTTCAACCCCGAGATACTTGCTTCCATAAAGGAAACAATGGTGGGTGTCTGCATCTTTGGCCTTCTACTACCTGCACTGAATAGAGGCCATAAAAAAGCGGTGTGGAAATGATGAGGTAATCATTGAAATTGTCCCATATGCCTCACCCACCTCTCCTTGTCTGAAGTGTTACACTTCCTAACAGTTCTGAGAGTATAACTACATGGACAGCTACTCCGCCAGAAGGAAGCTGCCCATATTATCTTGAGGGTGATTAGGGATAGGCAATAAATACAGTTGGTTCTGCTATAATGTGTGTTTCTTCAACGCAAATTGGCTTTAACGTGATTGAAGAATTTAGACCACGATTTGTAGAACGTGAACTTTCCTTACCTGTATTGGCTGTAACTCGATTCCGGCCCCATTAGTTTAAATTGTGCGGCTATAGCATGATTTTTTTTACAATGGGAGATCGCATGAGAATGGAACAATTGCGTTATATCAGAACCAACTGTACTGGTTTACTGAAATACTGACATTGGTCCCAATCAATAAAGAATAATTTTTGAGATATTTGGCAATATGCTGCTGCAGCTTGCCTTTAACATTGACTGTATGGACCAGTTTTCACTTGGTTTCATTGTTAGCTACCATGTCATAGATGGGAGAGTTCTGGTGCAGCGCTTAAAATGCCAAGGAAGTAGATCTAAAGAATGTCATGTAGTCTATTTTGTTGATGGCATGCCTTTGCTGGAACTGCACGAGTAGTCTCTTACCAATAGCTCTGATTTCAATAATCATGATGTGCTTTGAGAGGTTGGTCACGGCCCACATCAACTCCAGTCTCCCAACCTGCCTTGATCTACCAACATAACTGCCTAACGACATAACAGATCCACAGATGATGCCATATCCCTAGCCCTGCACTCATCCCTGGAACATGTGGGCAACAAAGACACCTATGGCAGACTCCTGGTCATTGACTACAGCTCCGCCTTCAACACCATTATCTGCTCCAGAATGATCTCAAAACTGCGTGACCTTGGTCATGGCTCCGCCCTCTGTAGTTGGATCCTCAGTTTTCTGACCCATAGGCCGCAATCAGTGAAGATAGGTAACTGCACCTCCTCCACGATAATACGCAACACTGGAGCCCCCCAAGGAAGCGTCCTCAGCCCCTTGCTGTAATCCCTGTACACCTAGTACTGTTGCCAAATTCCGAACGAATGCCATGTACAGTTTCGCTGATGACACCACCGTATTGGGACGGATATCTAACAATGACAAGTCAAAATACAGAAGGGAGGTGGAGGGCTTGGTGATGTGACGCAATGAAAACAATCTCTCTCAACGTCGACAAAACTAAAGAACTAATCATCGACTTCAGAAAGAAAGGAGGAGAACACGCCTCCATTGACATCAATGGAATTGAGGTTGAGGTTGAGAGTGAAGAGCGTCAAGTTCCTCGGAGTGACGATAACCGACGACCTGTCCTGGACTTCCCACATAAATAACACAGTTAAGAAAGCACAACAATGCCTCTTCTTCCTCAGGTGGCTCAGGAAATTTGGTATGTCCGTAAGGTCCCTCACCAGCTTCTGCATTGCACCATTGAAAGCATACTGCCCGGATGCATATTGGCCTGGTATAGCAACAGCTCTGTCCAAGACCATAAGAAACTACAGAAGGTGATGTGCACAGCCCAGACCATCACTGAAGCCAACCTTCCATCCACGGACTCCATTTACACGGCTTGCTGCTGTGGAAAGGCAGCCAACATCATCAAAGACCCATCACACCCTGGTAATGACCTCCTACAACCTCTTCTGTCAGGCAGAAGATACAGAAGCCTGAACACACGCACAAACAGGTTCAGGAACAGCTTCTTTCCAGCCATTATCAGACTGTTGAATGGACTCTAGCCTCAAATAATATAACCTGCATGCCTGTAGGTCTTTTTGATCTGTACATCCTTTGCTTGCTGTGATCTGCCTCTGCTGCTCGTATACAAAGCTTTTCACTGTATTCGGTACACGTGACAATAAAATCAATCAATCAATTCTTATGCTGTTCCCTTGGTTTTGCTTAGCATGCCTTCCAATTAGGTGATTTGTTAACTCATTGAGGTGGTAATGGACAACTAATGACATTAACCATACACCATTCGACAAGGTATTGAACTGGAGCAAACTGTGGTGCTAAACAATCCACCTTTTGAAATTTCACTTGTAGGTAAGCCAGTTTCTTTGACAGTCATTTTTGCTAAGATTGTACTGTGGTGTTTACCCATTTTCCTGGCTAGGAAGTTGTGAAAATTCTGAACAGCACTGATTCTTCGGGTCCTTGTACTGTGCCAAAATATTAGTCATGGATGCTAAATTGAATCTGGTATTAGATTTGGGTTCAATTCACTGAAAACTATAATGTAGTTGCATTCTTTACAAAAAGAGAATCTGAGCAAACTGCACCTCCATTAATGTAAAATTGGCTTTCTCAAATGGAGAAGTGTTGAATAATAGAATTGTAGAATGGTTCAGAACGGAATTTAATTAGGAACATCAAACAACATGTAAGGACACAAAGTAAAGATGGTGAGGGTATTAACTGATGAGCCAGAGTAATGAAAAATTTGTAAAAGGAATTCAAGCAACAACGAAAGAGAGAGAGAAAAAGGAAACTTGATGAAAGGAAAAATAATCACATGGCACATTATTTAGCTTTACTAAAACCCTTGAATCCTACTTCCATGTTTGTTTTTAAGAGCAAAATTTGATATCCATGAATCAGTGAATGGTTACTGAGTGATTTGCCAGGTCTGTTTTTAGTCTTGTCATAAGTTGAACTGTGAGTATCTGCTGTCTTTTTACCTTAACACTGATGCTTCTTTGTTTTTTGAAATAGTGTGGAGTTCCTGTTTGTTTAACAGGTTGAGAATTGAGACTTTGCTGAGTTCTTGTTTATTTGATAGGCTCTGAGTTGATCTAAAATGTGTTCATGAGGCTGATCTAGTCAAGCAAAGAAGCTCTCTTCCTTTCACTATCTGACAGTCGTAATGCCAATTATATTCGAGAAGTTCTGTAAATGAGGTTAATGGGGTGATTTATTGTATGATGATTTGGTAATGCTTTGCCAGAACACAATCTCTGCCATTAAATTTTTGTGGTGGGGGGTGGTGTGGTGGGGAAGCAGCTTGTTGGGATACAAACATGCCTTGACTTTCAAAATTGTTTTCACATAAAATAATGTAATGACATGAATGGAGGCTTCTCTTGGACTTGTGTGATTTTCAACATCCTTCACTAAAATGTGGGCTTATTCAATAACCGTTCAGTCAATACATAAATAGTGGGATTGTGAAGAGCATGCTTTTTCTCTGTGTGTAGGACATTCATCTTCATGGTAGCACATCAAAGGACCTTTGAAAGAAAGTACCTTACTTGGCAAATTAATTTCAGTTGACAGTTCGAACAATATACAATATGGTAGTATAGAATGTCTGATGGAAAGGTTTCTCCCTCTCATTCAAGATTATGGGTCATTCATTTGAAGATGCTTCTAAATGTGCATGCTGCTTCTGTTTGATACATCTAGGTGATTGTCAGTTGTTGATATTTTGCCTTCCTAATGGTTAATTGTTATAAGCAGTGTTTGTCTCAAATGTACAATGATCTCTAATTTCTTGTGTTGCATACAAAGCAACAAAAAGTTTTGGCATGAGCTGTTTATTGTGCTGTGTTAGTTTTGTTATGAATATCTCTCATTTGTATTCCATTTTAGGACTGGCCATTTGATGATGGAGCCCCACCTCCTACTCAAATTGTGGATGACTGGTTGAATCTGTTGAGAGAGAGATTCCATGATGAACCTGGATGTTGTATTGCAGTTCACTGTGTGGCAGGACTGGGACGGTAAGGAAAATACTGGTTACAATAATAACTCAAATGTTCATAGTCTTAAATATAACAATGTCTGGTACACTTGATGGATGACCATTAAAAAGATAAACACAGAAGAAGCAGCTGGTAATACACCATCCTCTTTGGTATTGCCAGGAAAGAAGGTAATATCATTGACAAGTTGACACCCATTGAATTTTGTTTCCCTTTAAATTAGAAGTTGTCAGGTATTCTTTTAACTGTGTTATCAAAAAAGATGTGGTATTTTCTTTGATACTTTAGAAAATGGGTGAAAAAGGTTCCCAGCAAATTCTTTCTCCCCTTTATTACACATATTTGACTACAGACTACTGTCTGGAAACTGGCTATATCAGCCATATATTTTGCACATCTGTTTAATATTACATCAGTTTATTTGGCTTTTGGCAGTTTCCGCTTTTCATGAAATTGAGATTGTTAGGGGATCATCTGTGGCTGTCCCATTTAATGCAAACCATTTGTAAATTATGCCTGGTTAGCCTGCATGCCAACCTAGCAAATGGGCAAGATCTAACCAGTACTTCCAAAAGAGCTGACAGAAGCTTAATAAGCTGACAATTTGAGAATAGCCATGAGGGCCGTTGGACTTTAAGTGATAGATAAAAGACAAATTTCATTACTTTTATCAGAGTGAAGAAACAGAAGTCCATGAAAACCTAAGGTGTAAATCCATATATCGAATTGGAAAACCATTACAGCATTCTCTTCTGGAGAAATTTTTAACTTTCTTTTACAGTGTTTCATTTTAAGCATTTTCTTTCTCCAAAATAATTGGAAAAGGGGGAGAAAAGCAGTCAAAGAGGGAGAGAAATGAGTGACATTAGGAGAACAGTTTGTAATCAGGGAAAGTAGAAAATTCTGCTTTGCAATTGGAAATTGGGGGACAGTATCAGCATAGGAGACAACGTGGAGTGTCTGAGTATAATGGGGAGGGAGAGTGCCACCTTCAGCCATGGGCTATTCAGATGGGGAGGTAAAGTTGGTGGATTAGGTGAAGTGCCAGTATAAATTCTGAGAGATATTGGGCAAATTTATTTTTGTTAAACTTGGACGAATAGAAGTATAATACTGTCTCCCCGTAAGTTATAAGATGTAGGAGCAGAAGTAGGCCATTCAGCTCCTCAAGTCTGCTTCGCTAATAAGTGAAATCATGGATGATCAGATTACCCTCCATCCTAGTTGCCTGCACTTTCCCTCTATATAACCCTTGCTTTGCCTACTGATTAAACACCTGCAGCCTTGAATATATTTAACTCTTCCCCAGTTGAAGTGGTAGAAGAGTGCCTAAGTGAACTAAAAAGAAGGGAGATGCTGATGTGAACTAGATGGGAGTTTTAAGGAAAGAATGTTGCTACACTGCAACGAAGCAATTTTGCAAGTCACCTTTCACAGCACCTTCTAAGTCTATGTGAACTTTACTTCCTACACCAATATCTGAAAAAGTCGCACAACATCCTGCCTTGGGACCAATTTGCCATCATTCCTCCATTGTCACTGGGTCAGAATCCTCATGCTACCTCCCTAATGGCACTGTGGGTGCCTTTGTACCCCAAGCAGGGCATTTGTTCAAGTAGGCAGCTCTCCATCAACTTCTCTAATACAATTAATATTTGGGTAGTCAATATGGCTCACGTCCATGAGTTAATAAAATCCCAACTTTTAAAAATTAAAACAAATGTGATTAGATTGTTAATATACTAGCAGGTAAACATTTAGCTAAAATTTACTGCCAGCTGTTTGTTTCTCAAATCCAAACTTGCCTTGCACTAATTCGAAAAGACATACCTTGCACATCCTTGCACATCATTCAAATTTAGTTCACAGGAGCTCACTGCATTCTATTCTCTTACCCCTCGCTTTCCTGCTCCTCCTCCATCCACTACCCTCCTCACCAACCATTTACACGCTTGCTCACTCTGCTACTAGAATCCAGTAACTGTCTCCTGCCAGCATTTGTCTAGAGTTTTGGCAAGGATTTTGCTATAGTTTTTGAGATTGTTCCAACCCACTGTACACTCGAGACAATCCTGTCACTGGTATCGAGGACAGCATTGGAATAATGGACCCATACATTTGTGCATTAGTTGACTTACTGAAACATTTGTGCAGTCTCCATGCTGGAGCATTGGTAATATTTGTTATTGAGTGCAGAGTAACTAATTGGGTTATCAGGTGTCTGATTTGTAGTTGTCAGTAATGGTCAATTTTTGTGTGCTAATTGTGAAATTGAGAAATTATTTCCAAATAAAAACAACTGTTTCTGTAAAGATGTGTAACAATCAAAGAATTTTGTTTTGGGGTAATGTTGATTTCTGAGCCCAAGTTGTGATTTATTTTATTTTTAGAATGAAAAGTATCTGTACATTTTCTTAAAAATAAAGCTTCATAATTTGTAACATTGCATGATAGGTCTTGATTGAGCAAATGTTTTTTCCAAGCCCTTGCTAATAATATAGAATCAACTAGTTTTTTTAAACTGTTCCTGCTTTAGGAGGAAAATGGTTTTGTTGTTGACTCATCAGAGACAAATCACAGAAGTCTTATGGTGCCGAATGAGTAAGCCTGCTCAGCCCATCATGCTTACACCAGTCTTCAAAAGGCCTTTATTACTTAGTGCCACTCTCCTGCTTTTTCCCATACCCTTGAAGATTGTTTTTTAACCAAATAATTGTCCAGTTCTCTCTCAAATACCTCAATTAAACCTGCCTCTATGGTAGTTCTAGGCAGTGAATTCCATGCCATAACTATTTGCTGCAGAAAAAAAACTTTTACATCATCTTTTTCAAATCATTTTAAATCACTTAAATCACTTTTGTTCCTTTTGCAAGCAGCAGCAGTTTCTTTTTATCCAGCCCACTCATTTTGAAAACCTCTTGATCTAAACAAGATTGGAAATTTTATGTTCTCCACATCTTATCCAAGAGCAATCACAAAGAAAGCACTTAATGTGACACTTCATAATGTAAATGTTAAATAGTGTAAATTAAGGAGCCCAGATTAAGTAAGGCAATGTGCAGTTGAATACTGTAATGACCCATCTGTGATTCTATGGTTTGATGAGTTGACTAGCTTTTATTTGGTCCTATTTATTTCTCTCCTCTTAAGTGTGTGCAAATGTGCAGCAAATATTGGTGCACAAAAAACTGCAGCCTTGCTAAACTAGTACTCATTCAATCTATTTTCCCTTTACACTATAGAGCTCCAGTGCTTGTTGCATTAGCATTGATTGAATCTGGAATGAAGTATGAAGACGCTGTTCAGTTTATACGGCAGTAAGTACAGTGTCATTGTTACTTACAAAGCTGGTTTTATATTTTGTCTGTAGATAGTGACAGTGTGCATTAGAACACTTTGCCCAGTTGGCTCCATCAATGGGCTATCTATAGAACTGAATTGTGCAAACTATATAGGTATAAGACTTGACCCAGTTGCTGGATTAATTGATTGCTCTCAATGCCATTTTTGTTTAAAATCATCCCAAAGATTTTCACAATAAAGTCTTTGGGATCGGTCTAAATAAAATAGTGTAAAGAATGGTCAGTTAGTCCAGCAAAGATTGAGTCACGTCTAAGACATTGCGATGTGCTCTAGTGACCCTATTTCAGCACTTATAAATGTTTTGTATAAGGGTGGTGGGGAATGGAAAATCACCCATACTTGCCCAGTCTGGCTTTTATGACTCAAGATCAAAGTATTATGGTTAACTTTTAACTTGTCTCTGGTCTAAGCACCAGAGAATGGCAACTTTGTACATTTTTCACTGTACTGCTGTATTCGTGTACTTGAGTACAAGTGACAATAAAATCTAAATCTAAAAACAGTTATAGGTAATTCAGGATGGAAAATTTATACTGGTCTTATCTGCATCCTGTGAATGAATCTTTGAAATAGCAATATATGCTGCTCTGAAGTTTTTGTTGTTGAGAATTTTCTCTGTGCAAAGATGAAAGTGTATTTTACTTATCTAAACAGAGTATCTACATCAAAGCATTGGGGCAGTGTTTCATAAGAAATAGGATCAGAAGTAGGCCATCTGGCCCATCGAGCCTGCTCTGCCATTCAATAAAATCATGGCTGATCTTTTCATGGACTCGGCTCCCCCTAACAGTCTGCTCACCGTAGCCCTAAATTCCCTTAATGTTCAAAAATCTATCTTTCTTTGCCTTAAAAACATTCAACAAGATAGCATCAACTGCTTCACTGGGCATGCAGTTCCACAGATTCAGAACCCTTTGGATGAAGAAGTTCCTCCTTAACTCAGCCTCAAAATAAGGGGAAGATTTAGGACTATGCCTCCGAGTTCTAGTTTCACCTGCCAGTGGAAACCACCTCCCTGCTTTCATCCTATCTATTCCCTTCATAATTTTAATGTTTCTATAAGATCACCCCTCATTCTTCTAAATTCAGTGAGTACAGTCCCAGTCTACTCGATCCCCTCATAAGGCAACCATCTCAATTTAGGAATCAACCTACTGAACCTCCTCTGTAACCCCTCCAGTGCCAGTAGATCCTTTCTCAAGTGGGGAGACCAAAACTGTTCACACTACTCTAGATGTGACCTCATCAGCACCCTATACAGCTGCAGCATAACTTCCCTAATTTTAAACTCCATCCCTCTTGCAATGAAGGACTGTGAAGGGCAGCATGGTGGCTCAGCAGTTAGCACTGTTGCCTCACAGCGCCAGGGACTCTGGTTCGATTCCAGCCTCAGGCGACTGTGTGCAGTTTGCATGTTCTCCCCATGTCTGCGTGAGTTTCCTCCGGGTGCTTCGGTTTTCCCCCCACAGTCCAAAGATGTGCAGGTTAGGTGGATTGGCGATGCTAAATTGCCCATAGTGTTCAGGGATGTGTAGCTTAGGTGGGTTATAAGGGGATGGGTCTGAGTGGGATGCTCCAAGGGTCGGTGTGGACTTGTTGGGCCAAAGGGCCTGTTTCCACACTGTAAGGATTCTATTTTCTATGCAGGGATTGGGTAGGGAGTGGTGTCAGTGGGATGCTCCTCAGGGTTGGTGTGGACTCAGTTGGCCGAATGGCCTGCTTCCATACTGTAGGGATTCTGTGAATATCCCATTTGCCATCTTAATTACTTGCTGCACTTGCAAACCAACTTTTTGTGATTTATGCATAAAGACGCCCAAGTCCCTCTGCACAGCAGCATGCTGCAATTTTTCACCAATTAAGTAAGTCCATTTTGCTGTTATTCCTACCAAAATGGATGTTGAGAGGGCTTTACTCTCTATCTAATCCACACTTGCTCTTGGCCTGGGGATGCTTATTAGAACATTGTAGAGAGGGATTTATGCTACATGTAACCCAATTTGGGAATGTTTGATAATACTGGAAGTTTGAAACCGAAATTGTACTGCACTGTGGCACTTAATCACCTTATACTTTTCATGAGTGTTAAATAGTCAAGCAGGTAAATGACATACATACAACTATAGTTCTGTGGCTGCTTGTTGATGACTTGGGCATGGGAAGTTTGCTGCTCAGTATGCAATTGGAATCCAATTTTATCATGTTGCTATAAAGCAGCTATATCAAAGTACATTTGGTTCTTCCGCATATGTCTCTATTGGTCTGCTCCAACCATCCTCAAAACTGACTAAATCATAGAGAAGGATTAGTGTAATCTATAAAATTATCAATCTTATCAAATCCTGCTGGGTTTTCTCTTTGTTTACTCCTGTTTAAAACTAGCAGATTCCCATGCCAATGTTGAGTCCTGCACTCCAGTAACATTGAGAGCCAATTGAGGAATCCAGAGTACAGGGCCCTCGGCCAATGTTTCAAGCATTTTCCAAAAAGAGCTTTAAAAATAAGTACTACAGTCTCCAAAGTTTCCTGCTTATAGGAACTGTCAACTGTAATTAAGAAACTCTGACACATTAATGTCCAATGTTACCTAAAATGTCAGATGCGACTGTTGAAAGATATTTGTGATAGATGCAGTTATAAGGTACAATTAAGTAAGTTACACGTAAGTAGAGTTAACGCATCAATGTATTGAAACTTACCCATTCCTCCTTTATCCATTTCAGGAAAAGACGTGGAGCTTTTAATTCAAAGCAACTACTTTACCTCGAGAAATATCGGCCAAAATTGCGTTTGCGCTTCAGAGCCGCAAATAGCACAAGCTGCTGCATCCAGTAACAATCTGTCTCTGGACTGTAGATACCTTGGTGACGCAAACACAAAATTGAATATATTCACATTCGGTGAAGACAGGACCTTCAATCTTGAAGTGAATTTTTGAAAAAAGAAATCTGTCTTTGTGGTGAAGGAATTGTGTATTTTTCATATGATTGATCTTATCAGGGAGGTGTTGCATCTTAAAATGGTCTGTATAGAAAGAATTCACTGCCTCTGTAAAAAGAGGTTAAGATTATGTCTGTGCAAAGTCCCGCTTTCACCTCACTTTGTAGACCTCACTTGCATTGCACAAAGACTTCTTAAGGTTATGGTTCGATGCAATAGATTATCCCTCTGATTGCAGCAGGTAGGCAAAATAAAAGATGGTATCTGGCACTGTAATTGTATTGTATTTGATTTCCAGAGATGAGCAATGCCAATCTTAGTGAATAAGCTCTTTGTTTTGGTGTAATACTTAGGGTTTCTTTTAGAATTGAAGCGTTAAGTGTATAAACATCTTTACTTTAGGTTCTTCTAGTCAATTTTTCATCCGAAAAGTTGGAAGGGTGAGAGTATGAGTAACTGCCCTTTTATTTAAATATTTTGCTTTGCAACCCTTACGCAGTGACAATCTGCAAAATGCACATCAGACATTTTCCAAGATGTGGAAGATGTGTGCTGCAATATTGGGTTTGCATTCCCTTAGTGGCAAATGCTCCACCCTGAATTCTAATATTACCTTAATGGGTTTTCTTTTACCCCAGCCACAGTACTATGTAGTGTTACACTACACTATACTTGGGACAAGAATTGGAGAGCAGTGGGAATAGTAAATTGCCAAACCGATAGTGGCTCCTGTGACTGCTTTTATTGAACCCACAAGATAGCTAATTACATGCGCTACAAGTTCTTTCCGGGAGGGTTATTGATCTAGAAGTATACCCATCTGAACATTACATAGTATTTTATGAACCTAACAGCAGAAAACAATAGCACAGCAAAGTCTCATCATTTTTTATAGATATCATCATCTGATATAGATAGAAAAGGGAAAAATTGAACAAATAATAGTCTGAGTCAGAGAACATGCAGTGTCTGGATTTCTAATGAAGTGTTAGAGTGAGTAAAAAAGTGAAGGTGAAAATCTAGAAAATGGTTAAATGAAGAATGCAGATGTCTGTCTAACATCTGGCCTTAAATGTTGCATTGAATTGTAAAACATGTATACAGCAAAGATGAATTAATATCTGCTTCCTTTTTTTTCCATACTCTTATTTGCCTACAATGAACATTTGCCATTTTGTGTATGTTTTTGTTTTGGGTTTAGCACTGAACCCCTCACAAAAATGTGCAAAATGTCAATTTATTTGATTTTCTTGTTATAAACAGTTTTCAGCTCTTTATGAAACAAAAAAGCCAAAAAAAGCTTATTCTAATTTTTATTCACTTTAAATAGAGAGAAAGGACAGGAATTTCATGAGCTGCGGATGTGAGAAATGAAACTGGTTTCTTGGGTAGTTAAGTAAAGGGGCAGCTTGTTGATTGTGTCCAATGATCAGACTGATTCAAGGAGAAATTGCTTCTGAATCATGGCTTAATCTTTTTTAAAAAAGATTTTCTCCTGATGTCATTTTAAAAAAATAAAATTCACATTATTTCTGGAGAAGCACTTGCTGCTAACCTAGTACCGCACAACAAATCTGGCCGCCTTACATTGGTACACTGGCATAGTTGTTGCTCTGACCCATTTTGCAAATTTAACTTGGCTGTTTCTGATTCTAAAGATGTGGCTCATGCAAAAGCTCACATCATAGTCATAGCCAAATGTGTACAGAGGCACAATGTATCCAGAAAAGACTCTCAAAACAAATGTGCAACATTTTCACTATTTAAGAACATTATCTCTCTAACTTTAGTTGGTACTAATTTTACATGAATGATTCTTTAATGCTCCTATCAAATGTGGGGTCAAGCTGCTATTTGCTGATGCAAAATGAATTAACCAGTGCCTGTTACCATAGATGGCACTAATGCCAAAGGACTTCCTGGTGTCTAAACATTTGAGGACCCTGCATGCTGCCCTTCTCTATCGCTGTGCCATGACTTGTTTGTTTGCAGCATGTTTGTGGGCAGTGTCCAGCACAGAAAAGTAAGATGCAACTTAATTTAATTCCCCTAAAAGACAGTAAATGCTTAAGTGTAATTCTGGAGAAACAGTTTTGTCTACCCTCATATTGCAGATGTTTTGCATTGTACAGGATGTAACAAAACAAGAAAGTGAGCTGAGTAACTGGAGCATACCAGTTTATATCAGCAAAAACCTGGCTAATCTTTAACTGTGCCTGTCTGTCTAGTATGATCCTGTGTTGTGTTAAACCAATTTCTGTCTCCCAATCATTCCTTATCAAGGTTAAATCTAATATATCCTTGAAATAGTGGTTATAAACACAATCCTCCGTACTTCTGGTGTGATTTGTCATTTTCCACCATTACATGAGAAGCTCTTCAAGAATTTTCTAATTCAATTCTATACCTTTAGAAATATTTAATTGTATTATAAGGTTATTTGATTTTTTTATTTAAAGTGATTTCCAATTCTTCCAAAAAAATCCAAAATAATATGCCTTAATTTGTAACAATCAATGACCTGGAATTCTGATTCTCTGATCATAGATATTTTGACTTGCACACTGTCAAGTCTCATCAATATATGCTAAAGCAGTAATTAGTAGCTGCATTAATGATCCTTTGTTGAAGAGCATGGAGACTTGAAATGGCTGATCTATTTGTTCACAAAATAAATCTGGTAGCTCTGTCTCTGCAGCACTGTACTCTGACTTGGGAATCCTGGATAGCTTTGTTACTATCATACTGTTTTGATGCTACACTGCTTCATGTCTACTATGTATCCCTACATAAATCTAAAAGAGATCACTTAGGAAATTAGTTAAATTTAAAAATTCTTCGGGGGAGAAGGAATTCCCACATGTTTTTAATCTGAGAGGATGTGGGATCATGTGATCTGGCCACGCTTTTCATCTCTTGTGTGAAAATTATAGCTCTATTTAGAAAATCTCAAGACACCCTCTATTTATATGCTTTGCTTTTTAATTGAAGAGCCTGTCAAACCGTGCCCTATTGGAGGGTGCGCTGATCATTTCATTATGACTTTTGAGAAACTGAACCAGATTCAGGTGGTCCAATGCACCTATTTCTTTGATAGCCTGGCCTTTTATTTAGAGGTAAATGTTGAGAAGTTGGCCCCCTGTTTTCTCGAGGTTTTCCAGGACACGTTTGTAAAGTGGTTTCCTGATTTGGGTTGGTATGATAGGGAAGCCTGTTTTTTATTTTTTAAATGAAAAATGAATTGAACCTCTGGAGGTGAAGAGACAGCTTAATTACATTTGCAAATCATTTTGTTTCAGAAAATAATTTCCTCCAACCTGAAAGTGATTTCTATTTTGCATTTGTCTTCAGACATTAAGCAGGACATCTAACTTATCTGTGTACACCTTGAAGGCAGTTAACAAATTTAAATATTTGGTGAGGAGATAATTAAGTTTTTTTTTTAAAAAAATCTAAACTAATGATGGACTAGTGGGATTATTGGACTGGTGACAATAGCCAGGTACTGCAAGCATCAGGCCAGTTTTGGAAATGCCCAGTTATTGGGTCCACTTCGAGACACTTTCAGGGAGTTTTGATGTCCCGATACCTATACCCAGGTTCACTTTGTTTCTAGTGGACTTTGATGTTATTAGACCTGTGCTTTTGGGTGCTAAAAGAAATACCAAGGGTGAAATAGTTACACTAACGAGTGCTCTGTTACTATTTCAAACTGGTATTTAAAATCAATTTTCTTTCATTTCAAAATTAACAAACTATGCTAAATGACTTGGTGATTTCTGTCCTGGAAAGACTGCATTCCTTTTTGAATTATAACATGTTTTCAGAGGGAAACTCAAGTAACCGTGAACAATCACCAAAAAGGAAACTTGAGCAGGGCCTTGGAGTATGAGGTTTCCTGTTGCAGAGGTGGGGCATCGTGAATGATCATTGATGTCTTGAGATGTGATTTAAAATGAGCTGGAAAGTTCTCAGTTATAAAATAGCGCCTTGACGTTGCTGGTCACTGGCTTGAATCTTCCAGTTTAACACTGTCTGTCATTTCTATGACCATTCTGTGCCTATCCAATTGGTGTGTACACACCAACAATCATTTAGTAATCATCTAAAAGTACCGATATTTATATTTTCAATGATCAATTATGTTTCAAATATATTCTTTTTTAATCATTTTGCACAACAATGTTTGAAGTGCAGCTCAATGTTGTGGAAAAGCTGCCCCTGCTGTGACCTGCTTGTAACTCCTGTGTAGACGAAAGGGGCGCAGTCTTTCTGGAATCATGTTTCAGCATAAATTCTGCTTTTATTGATTCGATATTAAAGAGATTGTGTCTTTAGCGTTAGATCTCTCATACTTTGCGTTTTGTTTCATTGTTTATGTAGCTCTGTTATCATGGGGTTAAAAAAGATTGACAACTCATTCATAATATTAGTTGTTGTGGATTCAATAACTTGAAGTGAAAAAAATTCAATTGACACAGCATCCACTCCACTTTCTCAGTTTGTGACTGAGTAAAGTGATCAACTTATTTCCTCTGAGGTGGGCAAGTTTAAAAAGGAACTGAGAGAATCAAAGGGTGCTTGCTTGGACTTGTGTAGGACAATGAAGTTGGCCACAGAAACACAAGGGTTTTTGGGTACAGGAAGGTATTGGCCTGGATCTTGCAGTAGAAAAAGTAAGTTTATCATCACTCCCATTGTTATGGAGTGGCAACGTGTGATTTTTGCAACAGAAAATTGCTGTTCAATTTGCCCCTACTCCTCCAGAAGTTTAGAGTAATTGAAAAGTGTTTCTAGACATTTTTGCCAACTATATCCTTTAAACACATCAGTGAAAATTAGGACTAGTGGATTTTTTAGCAGCGTGCTAAGCCTAAATTAAAATGAATCTCTCTCACTCTGAGAATTAACTTTTACAAATGTTCTATTACTCTTCAGAATTTAAATATTATTGGACATTTTTAAAATTTTCATTCTCTCAGTCCCATCTTTCCCTCCTTTGTTCATTTCTAAATGTGATTTGACATTGAATATTAAGATATATACCTTCCTTTAAGGGAGGTTTAGACTCTGCATGTCTTTGAGTATTCTGCAGTTTGATCAAAGAGCCACAGTGTTGCTTGCCCTGCTTACATAGAGCACAAACTCCTTGCAGACATTCTACACTTGGATTTGTAAAAATGATAAGCTGGCACTGAAAAGTCAGCAAAAGGTGTGTGTGAGATGCGAGAAGGATAATGAACGGTGAGTACCGTTATTTCACCAATGACAGGAGTACTGGTTTAGGTTTTGCTATCTAATCTTTGAAGTTCTTCACTATTCAGATATGGCCCAAAATTTGCTGATTCTACTTATCTGTTTTAATGGCCTGGTGGGGTAATTGATTTTACAAGTTTATTAACCTGTCCTGCCTGTAGTTACAGATATAGAGTCAGTGTCATAGAGATATACAACATGGAAACAGACCCTTTGGTTCTACTCGTCCGTGCCGACCAGATATCCCAAATTGATCTCGTCCCATTTGTCAGCATTTGGCCCATATCCCGCTAAGCTCTTCTTATTCATGTACCCATCCAGGTGGCTTTTAAATGTTCTTGACATTCCTTTCTCCTTGTAAAGAAATCTGTAATTACAAGTCCCGTGGTGTTAAGGCCTTCAGTATAAATAATTTGCTTGTATCAATTTTGTCCATTATTTTTACAATTAGATCTTGATGAAGTCAAAAGAAAACAAGCCATATTTCCCTTGTAGGGGTACACCCTCCTTCTATTGTACAAGTTTGATAACGTTTTGCACCAACCTGATGAAATAATGTATATTTTCAGAACTGAAACACAGTTGTATCAGTAAGCACAACTTGACTTTATTCAGTCAAATGGCATTCACAAGTTTCTGCCATAATTTCATCTCTGCTCAAGCAATAAATCTTAAAGTTGTTGATCTCTGCTCTGCATAAATATGAATGCAAGCTGTAGAGTTCAACATTGCCTTAGTGAACCAAAGCCGACCCCAATGGCCAGTATGCTACTTTGCTGCTGTCTCGCTCGCTCACTCTCCTTCGCGATGACCTCCGCAATTTAAAGCTGTCAGTATCTGAGGAGTTCTGTCCTACCTGTGTTTCGTTAGTTGGTCTCTGGTCTCAATGACAGTGCTGGTGCACATTTACCTCTCTTAGCGAATCAGTAAATGACTAGAGCTTCTGATCCTTATCTTGTGCACAATGGTAAAAGTGTGCATGCATGAATATCAGATTGGAACACAGGTTCCATCGAAGTGCACACAAAACTATGTCCCACCTACATTAAGAGCAAGTGGATACCAATAACTCCACATCCCAATAAGGGGCAGAAGTGTGCTGTAGGAAGAATAGGCTGGATGAGTTGATATAATATGACACCAATATATGACCATCTAAAATAAAAGTCCTATCTCGTCTCTGGGATAAAATGTGAAAAAGCTGTAAGATGCATTTTGATCAATGTCTACAAAGAACGTTAATGTTCTTTTAGGAGTGCACTCTTAACTTGAATCCTAATGAGGTTGTAGAAATGCTCGCCAAGCCGGTGGGTTTGGTTGCCGACGTTTCGTCACCCTCCTAGGTAACATCGTCAGTGCGCCTCCAGTGAAGTGTCTGTGTTCTGTCCTGCTTGTTGTTTATATGCCTCCGTTTGCTGGAGTGGTTGGTATTACTTCCGGTTCTGTTTCTCAGTGGTTTGTACACAATCTAATTCAATGTGTTTGCTGATTCCACTTGGAATGCCAGGCTTCCAGGAATTCCCTGGCGTGTCTCTGTTTGGCTTGTGCTATTATCAATGTGTTGTTCCAGTCGAATTCGTGTCTCTCGTTGTCCGTGTGTATTGAGACAAGTGAGAATTGGTTGTGTCTCTTAGTGGCTAGTTAGTGTTCGTGTATCCGTATTGTCAGTTTTCTTCTGGTCTGGCCTATATAGTGTTTCTCACAGTCCTTGCATGGTATTTTGTATATTACACCAGTTTTGCTAGTTTTGCGTATGGGTACTCCATTAACAAACACATTGAATTAGACCCTGTGTACAAACCACTGAGAAACAGAACCGGAAGTGATACCAACCACTCCAGCAAACTGAGGCATATAAATAACAAGCGCGGGACAGAACACCAACGCTTCACCAGAGGCGCACTGATAATGTTACCTAGCAGGGTAACCAAACATTTGCAACCAAACCCACCAGCTCGGCGAGCATGTGTACAACCTCATCCACAACCCGAGCTACAAGTGTTCCCAAAATTTTGAATCCTAATGTAGGATTACACACAAAATATTGATAATTTATCTGTTCTGTCTTCAAAAATTTTCTGTTTTTATCTTTGCTTGCATCTTTCTGGCCTTTTAGTTTCATTTTTGGTCTTTCTGGAGCGTAATTTGACAGCTTCGGTGTGTTTGAAATATCAGTTGGACCTAAATCTGGATTTCACTATCTTATCACTGCCAGTTTTTGAACCATTCTTATTGAAGAATTTGTACTGGCAATCGAACTACACATTAAACCTAGCAGTGTTCCAAGTAATTGTGGACCAAAATGAAACAGCACTCCTCCACACAGCTGCTGTGTTAAGATTTGTTGAGTATCCTAACCTGCTACAAGTACAATTGTGCTACAGAGGGAAGCTATTGAATTTTGAAAAAGTTAGTTTTGTAGCAGGTTAAATGTAATGTCTAGCTCCTGAATGATAGGAGCATGAAATCAATAAAACTGCAATTGGTACGCATTTCAAATAAAACCATTAAATGGTACGTATTCTCAGCAAAAGTAGAGAATGGACAAGTGGTTAACTCACTTTGATTTTAAACTATCCTCCTTGGAAAGGCATTCACTCATTTAAGGAGCAGTTGGTGCTGAAGACTCAACCAGCTCACCACTACCTCCAAGTGCCAACAGTTAATTTAACTGCTTTGTGAAGTCTACAGGCTGTGTTTTCCACATTATTCCTAGAATTATAAAGATGTACAACCTGGACACTTACCCTTCAGTCCAACTCATCCATGCCGACCAGATATCCCAAATTAATCTAGTCCCATTTGCCATCATTTGGTCCCTATCCTTCCCAATCCGTTCTTTTCATATACCTATGCCCAGATACCTTTTAAATGTTGTTATTGTACCAGCCTCCACTACATCCTGTGGCAGCTCATTCCATACATGCACCGCCCTCTGCATGAAGAAGTTGCCCGTTAGGTCCCTTCCCTTTTAAATATTTCCCCTCTCTCCTTTAACCTATGCCCTCTAGTTTTTGATGTCCCAACCCTGGGGGAAAAGACTTTAGCTGCTCACTCTATCCACGCCCCTCACGACCTTATAAACTTCTGTAAGGTCACCCCTCAGCCTCCGACGCTTGGGGAAAATAACCCCAGCCTGTTCAGCCTCTCCCTATAGCTCAAACCCTCCAACCCTGGCAACATCCCTGTAAATGCTTTCAAGTTTCACCCCTTTCCTATAGCAGGGAGACCAGAATTGAATGCAGTATTTCAAAAGTGACCTAACCAATATCCTGTATAGCCACAAAATAACATTCCAACTCCTTTACTCAATGTACTGACTGATAAAGGCATGCATTCTAAACGCCTCCTTCACTATCCTGTCTACCTGGGACTCCCCTTTCGAAGGAACTATGAACCTGCACACCAAAGTGCCTCTGTTTTGCAACACTGCTCAGGACCTTACCATTAAGTGTATATGTCCTATTCTGAATTGCCTTTCCAAAATGCAGCACCGCACATTTATCTAAATTAAACTCCATCTGCCACTCCTCTGCCCATCTGATCAAGGTCCCACAGTATTCTGAAATTAGCTATGTAGGGTAGCATTTTAAGTATTTTGGAATGGAAGTTTTCATATTGGCACAGCTACTGATCTTCCTTCATGCTACTGTTGATTTGCTTAGGATTAAAATGGCTATAAATAATACCTTTTTATCTGATCTATTCATGTTGGTTAAAACAAATCTTACGTTTTCAACTTGTATTTAGTTGTCATTTTGTTTTCTGAGCTCAGCTCAGTGTCATTTTGTAAATAATATTTCTCAAGTTGAAAAATGCATACACTTTCAACTGTTCCAAGTTAGGAAGCAAAATTTGTTTCCTCCACTACATAATTTCATTATATCTTGACAGATGTTTGGACAAGTTTCCATTACTAGCCTGCCCAGAAAACTTTTTCAGTGTTGGGCATTTTCTACATGCAGAGTTTGCTAACATTAATCTGAAATACTTCATCAGAAGAGCTGGTACTGTGATGCCTCATTGACACTGTTGAAGCTAAGCTACTATGAGAATTAATATCCACCATTGGAACAAAGGTGTGATA